TTGCAGATAGTTAAATCTGAAAAGATTAAATTGTAGTATTCTATTCACCAAATATAGGTACTACTCAAAAGTATCCCAAAATTTTAAATTCTTCTTAATTTCACACAGTGTCAAATAGAATATCTAGTTACAACAATAAGATATATTGCAGTAAGACTTGAGACAACAATACATATATAGGTAAACTGTACCTGGATAGTATACTTGTGGATGAATTCTAATTGTAACTATTGTAAGTGTGGATAGAAATATACAATGTATGTTTTTTACAGCACAATTAATAAATTAGAGTAAAGCTTACTTGCAATACTAAAAAAAAAATTAAAGACTTTTTCCTATATAATATTTATTATTAAACCTGAGTTTTAATAAATCCAATTAAAATATTTTTTCTTATACAATTTAAGTTATTTTATTAAACTTTTAAAGTTGATTCAAATATAATAGGAATTAATTATAAAATTAAAATTTTGATAGAAATAACTTTTTATTTTTGAAAAAAATCAATTAATTTTTTATTTATATATCTAGTATTAACTTTTTATTTGAATCTTTTTTAAACTTGAAACTAAAAAAAATAGTTAGTATATCTTAAATCAAAAAATATATTTTCAATAATAATAAAAAATAAAAGGTTTTTTTAAAACTTATTTAAATAGACTTTGTTTTTTTTTTATTAAAATTTTTAATAAAAGTTTTTTATAATTTTTATTTATTTATTATACTATGCAATTTGCTACTTTACTACTTCATACTTTATTTTATAATATAAAATTAACTAAAATAAAAAAAAACTAAAATACAAATATATAAAAAGTAAATACAATGAAGTACAAAATGATTAAAACTTTTTTTATTAATTGCTCTAAATTTTTTTAAAAACAATATATTTCTTTAGTTATATTCTTATTAATTATTATTAAAAATTTAAAAATTATATATTGAAAACATATGATGTCTTTATCTAATAATACTATAATAAACATTGTAAAAAATTTGTTATTAAATAGTAATACAATTATCTATTAATAAAAATAATTATATAATATATGGTAGTTTCTATTATTCTTTAATAATATACTTATTCTTAATAATAAAATAAAAATAAAAAAGAAAGAATATACTATTAATAAAAACAGGTTAATCAATAAATAAATTAGTAAAAATCCCATAAATAATCTGTTTTATACATTTTTTTTTTTTTTTTGAATGGATGGTTTACACCTTTATTCAAATTAAAGAGAAGTGTAAATTAATTTCCTTGTTAATATTCAATATATCTAGAGGTGACTAACTTAAACTTGTGGTATAATTTGAATATTACTAAAACTATGTTCTATTGTAAGGCTTATCACTAACAAGAGCAACAGTATTTTTTAATCGATCTATTAAGCACTATTGATTCCTAAAAAAAAATTTAAAATGAGCCAACTTTTCTATATCTTCTGATCTCAAAATTTGTAAACTTTTTTATTATGATTTCTTAACACCTAATGGATTATCTATTGAAGTACTGTATCTCTATTTTTTTCAAAAAGGAAAGGGGAAGACTTTTTCTTTAACAACTTTTACAGTCACAATAGAGAGTAATAGTTTCAGCAACTAGTTTTATTGATTTTATTCCAATTGCCCAAGGCCCTAAGTTCAATTGTCACTACCTTTCTAAAGTAATTATATTAACTAAATAGTACAATTTCAGTTACTTATTTCTTGTATCCAAGGAAATAGAGTTCTGTTATGGTCTAAATACAATTCTTTTATACTCAGATGGAAATCTAATACTGTTGTTCTTGCCAGTATCTTAAAATATTTTCTTATCTAGATGACTGCCTGGGGGATTTCAATTTGAAAAACAAATGGAACCTAGATCTAGAAATATCTTAAAACCTATGGTGGAGTCAACAATTCAATTCTTTAGATAATGCCTGGCTTCAAGCATAGGCTGCTTATTTAAGAAGGTGCAACACTTTCAAAGTTAAGTTATGTCTTAAGGGGAGTCTTCCATTCTGACAAATATTACCAACTAAGTACCTTCACTAGAGATAAAAATAGTGAATATCACTGATAGGCTTAACAGCTTTTATGGCAGGAGGAGTTGTGTTAAAGGTTTTACTGAGCAGTTTACAGTTAGTGGTCCTTCACAAACCATGAATTGAACAAAAAAATCTATAAGGGAAAAACATTCTGTTCACCTTGTTTGTATTTATATATGTAAGAAAAGAAAAAGGAAAAGAGAAAAAAAAAGGGAAAGGTAAAGGGTTATATACATACAAGCTCAACTCTATCAAAACAAACATCTTATAGCCTTGCTCTTCCTATTTAAAGTGATGACATTATCAGAATTTGTGTAGTACGAATAGGGATGTATTCTTATTTTGTTTATCTATTACTTGTTTGTTATTGTCCAATCCAGATTTTCAGCCAATAGAAACCTAGCAGATCCAGTGTAACCAAAAATTCAGGGTCAAACTGAGGTAGGCAGATTTTTCTAGAAAAACTAGAGAATTTTAAAAACATGCTAGAAATGTAGCTGTATTCATATTGTGAAGGTTTCTATAGACCAAGATATTTAATAACCTTTTAGCTTTTGGGGTTGTTCTTCCTAATAGAGATACTAATATCACGGTGGTAAAAAAGAAAGAGGGAAACCAAATAAACTGTCTTTTTTCCTGGGAAACTCTTTCTTGCCATTAGAGCTTGGATAAGTAAAAACTAAGGAACCTTCTTGTTTTTACTTTTTTGAAGAGATAAATAAAACAGTGGAGAGTATGGAAGTTTCTTGTCAAGGTCTGTCAAGTTGTATTAAAGCAAGTGTATGAGTTTTGTTAAGGATAAAGATATTCTTTAGTCTGAATGCCATTTTGAAATGTTGGTCAAGAGATTAGTGTGAAGAGTTCATGAAATCAAATATGTGTTTTGTATATTTTAAATACTTGCCAAAATTAATAACCATATGAATTATATTATTTCATAAAAAAAAATTTGTAGATAACTGTTACAATATATAATTAATTCTTTTAATATTATTTTTAATTGCTAATTTATATCTTTTTATTAAGTTTTAAAATCAATTATAATTTTATATAGAATTTTTTTTATTTGTTTGATATAAATGTTTTGATTTTAAAAAATTTAAACATTATTTCATTGCTACATTTTTTTTAATAACAAAAGTGTTTTTAACAATATTTAAATCTGAATTATTAGAAGCCCTATTTAAAAATCTTTTAACAATTTTATTAGCATAATTAAAATTATTACTTGTTAAAAATATTAATTATTTCCAAGTAATCATTTAATTTTCTGTTTATAATTTACAAAAATTAATATAAAACAAAATTATTTTTGTAAAAAAATTTTAATATAAATTTTAATTGATTTTATATTTTTTTATTACTAAGAAGTTGTTTTTTTAGATAATTTAAATACTTTTTATCAGAAAATAATTTTTTTTTTCGATTGTTATTAAAATGTTTTTTTGTCCAAGATTTTTTACGTAGATCACCTTACATGTATATTGTTTACAAATTTTAACATAATTATTGTATGACGTGATGATGTAACAATCGATTCTTGTTATCCATTTCCTATCTGGCCCTTTCGCAAAGGCCCTCCCCACGAAGGTATAACAAGAATGAAGAATGAATGAAAAAAAAGTAGAAGAGAGGAAAATGAGAGGAATTTTTTGGGAAATTGCTTGCTAATTATAGGATCTGCTTAGCAACATGACTCCTAAATTTTTAAGATTAAACGAAGAGACAAAAATTAAAGTTGATGGTAAAAAAAGAAGTGTAACGTTTTGATACATAGATAAATCTAATGCTTGAAAATTCACTTGTTGACTAGTGAGCTCCCTCAATGATTTAAAATATGCTTCAGGTCGTCACGCACGATCATAGTTCTCAATACTCTTATTTTTTCGAAATCATAAAGATAATAGAAGAATAGAGATAGAGGAGTTGTAATGAATAAGAAATATAATGGGAATCAGCATAATATGGTAAATATGGAATGGGAGATGAGGATATTTATGTTAAACACAGTGAAATATATTAGTGAATAAGAAGAAAACTAGGAAATAAATAATGGTTTAATAGGAATAATTAAAGGGGTCACCATCAGATACTGAACTAGCGTCTCACTATTCCCGTTCTATTTTTACATAATACTAATAAAAGACCCGAGTGAGATTAAAGTATAGTAGTAACTGTACTTTTATTATTTTTTTATATCTTTGAAATTTAGATGTTTCCTTTTCACAGTTTTAAATCATTTCTTTAACAAAGACTTTTAGTTATGAACAATTTTAGAGATGCCATGAGCGTCGTATTGCTAGTAAATTATAATTATTTAAATGGAGGTTACATAATTCTCCCACACACAATAAAGAAGATGTTATAAAAAGTGAAAACTAAAGTCTATCTAAGGTGCGTTCTAAATAATGACTCGGGCCCATACTGCGTATTTTTTATATGATCACAACAGAAACCGACCATTATTGCGCAGTACCCTGGACATCCAGAATAGATAAACATGATTAAAGTTATCGGATATAATTGTACACTGAATTTGCTGAAACGAAAACGGAAAATAAGACTTCTATAGTATAATCATATCATATTGTTGAAGTCATCGTCGCTCAAATAAAATAAGCCAAGTCAATGATCTAATTTTGATTACGAGCGATATTCATTTAGCACTGCACTTATACAGTACAGTATATAAGAAAATACTTTAAATTATCTATCTATCTATTCGGAACAAAAGATTAAAAATTTCATGCAAGATCTTGTATGATAATGCTTTTGTTTTTTCATTTTTATGTATCCATATAGGGACACAATAACTTTACGCAGTGAAAATCTATGTTCTAATTATAATTTTATAAGTATATTATCATATATAAAGAAGTCTGTGGCATAAATTCTCGTGTATCTTAGTTTTTACGATACAATTTTGCATAACTTCTATTTGCAAGACACTTATTTTTCACTTGAAATATGAATAATTTAGAAACTACAAATTATAACGGTTCTGATGTAATAATCATAGTTGGTGAAAAACCAAATGAAAAAGAATTCAAAGCAAAAAAGTCAATCTTGACCAGTAAATCGGAATATTTTAAAATTGCGTTGTCGATACAATGGGCAAGAAAAGAGAATGGATATATTATATTTAAAAAACCCAACATTTCTCCTTCAGTATTTGAAATTCTTTTAAAGTGAGTCTTTTTTTACTGCGTTGAATATAAAAGCGACTATATAAAACTGATCTTCTATAAATAATAAACATAATAGATACATTTATACAGGAAATATTTTCGTTGAAAACGATAAAGTTAGCCTCGTTGATATTGCTATTGCGAGTGACGAGCTTCAATTAAGTGGAGCCTATAAAAAACTTGAAAGACGCTTGCTTAAGAATAAATTATCTTGGAAACCAAGTGACATTTTTACGGTTCTTCAACACGATAATTTAACTACCTTGTATAATGCCTCTATAGAATTGGCATGTAGAAATCCTAAAACTATCTTTGAATCAGAAGATTTCTTTGATATGAAAGAAAATAATCTCGTTGATATTTTGAAATCCGACGATCTTGAATTAGACGAATTTGAAATTTGGGAATACCTAATCCAGTGGGGAATCGAAAATACCACTTCTGATATCGACAAGGATTTTAGAAAATGGACACCAGGGAATTTTAATGACTTAAAAAATACTCTGCAGAATTGTGTTCCTCATATTCGATTTTTTCAAATGTTACCTAACGACTATTCAAAGGTTAGAGATCATTTTAAGGATATTCTACCGGATGGTCTTGATAATGAAATTACAGAATATTTTTCAAATCCTAATTTTGAACCCTCAATCAACATCTTGCCGCCAAGAAAATATCCATTCGAATCAAATATTATTCATGCTAAGGATGCAGGATTAATAGCTAGTTGGATCGATAAGCGAGAAACGCCGTACCGTATTGCAAATTTACCTTTTGAATTCAAGCTTATTTATCGTGCAAGTCGTGATGGTTTTGGAATTGAAAATTTTCATAAAAATTGTGATAAAAAGGGACCAACAGTTGTGGTTATTAAAGTTCACAATTCAGAGGAAATAATTGGCGGATATAATCCATTAAAATGGGATGCAGGTTTAGAAGAAAATGAATATATTGTGCGATCTGTTGATTATAATCGCGAAACGTCAAAAAGTTTTATATTTTCCCTAAAAAATCGACATTCATTATTAAGTCAAATATCTTATAAAGAAAAAGCGATAATTTGGTGTAGAGAGAAAGGGCCATGCTTTGGTTCACGCGATCTGCACATTATTTCAGCAGGATCCGATATTATTTGTAGGAGCAAAAGATACTCTTACGAGAAGAACATTATAGAAAAAGAAACCTTTAAAATAGAAGAATACGAGGTGTTTCAAATTATTGATAATAGACTCCCTCAACGTATTAATAGAATGTTCCAATCTTTAATAGGATGGTCTAAGAGAAACTTCCGAATTTTTATGAGGTGGTTCATTCCGGTGCTTGAAAAAGTGTCCAAGCTTTTATATTATTTTATTAGGAAGGAAATAATTATTTGTTTTTATATAACGGTTTTCTGTTTGATAGCATCTTATTATTGTATTTACTATACTTGTAAGTTACTGGTGTATTTAGTATGTCTTTGTTTATGAGAACGCGATACCGCGTCGCGGTGCTCTAGTATAATTATTGAGTAAATACGTGTCTGAGTCAAATAAATAAAATTGGGATATAATAGGATTGAGAGGACGTAAGAAAGTTAGCATAGAAGTCTAAGAGAAAAACTTGTAATTGAATTACTAAGGAAATAAACAATCTTTTAACCAAAACCTGTACTTACCTTTTTTGACTTGTATAAATATTTACAATCGTTCAAGGGACAATTGCCAAAGAGAATAAAAGTTCAAGAAACAAGTTAAGAAGATTGTCCAGGGAAAAGCATTGGCGAATATAGTGAGTATAGGTTGGCAAAATCGTAAAAAAGTCACAGAATTAAGACATTGACTATTAACATCATGATTCAAGTTTTCATATTATTTTTAATGGTCTCGGTTAACGACTTGCAATTGACAAGAATATACTGTAGAGTATCTAATATTTTTGGAGTTTATTTATTATATATAATAACATATTTCCCGGTCCATTAACGACATGACCTTTTTATTTTGGATTTTGTTTTATAACTTCTGAGTTTCTTATCCTTGTCAATGTTTTTATTATTTTATGAGTTATTTTATTAAGTTCCAAAAAAATTTAATATGGGTTAATGTAAGTATTTCTAAATAAGCTCAATACTGTATAGATAAAAATTTACTAAGTACGATTTATTGAAAAATACGACATATAGTGCATATTGTCGCGGGTCAGGGGTCTATCAGCAGTAACGGCGAAATCCTAGACTTCGCGACACTTCGACAGGGGTCTCTGTTATAACAGGGGGGATTAAAGGCAGAAAGAGGCGTAGATTTGGCGAGTTTGTGTGATTTGGGGGATTTTATTGGTCAGAACAGTGC